GATATAGCTCCAACTCCCTTTTTGCCTTTCAGGGAAATAACCTTAGGAGGCCTATTTGTAGAGGTTTGGATCCCTGTCTCAACTACATTGTACATATTTTCAGGCAAAATATTGTTTTTCTCGATGAGTCCCTCAAATTTTCGAAAAACCTCTCCACTTGTGGGCGATTAAAGCCACTGGCTCGTGCAACACTGGTCGGCTCATGTGTCCGTAAGCTTAACTCAGGATGTCTCTTCATAAAATTTTGATACCATTGCTGACCCGCTGCATTATTTTTAAAACAATGAATAATGTGGTTCGCTTCGGCGTATTGATATGCTAACACACAAAGATCTCGTCGCATAAGCGCATAAAAACGGCTATCAAGCTCTTTGATATGGGTAACAAATTCTTGTTCTTCTTCTGGAGTGAAAACCGTCTTAAATCTGCCCAGAGATTTAGTAGTTTTATTAGACTTCACATGCTTAAGGAGCGTTGAGAATGGAATGTTATATATTAAAGACGCTTTTCTTATCGACTCCCCGTTACGCACTGCTTGCAATGCATGTTCCATGGATGTTTCTGTCCAGGTGCTTCCTCGTTCCGACTTTCTTTTATAGTTGAAAACCATCTAGAAAAGAAGCGAAAATTACATACCTACATGAAAATCGAAAATTGATATACGGGCAAAAGGAATCATGATCCCTTTTGCCTGATTCCTCTTGCCCGAACCGAAATGCACTGTCACAAAGGAAATAAAAATTTACGAGACCCTGGCAACAATGGACATATTTTCAAGGTTAGGTAGAAAAGTAGAAGTGCCAATCTTTCGATTATTAACTAAATCGTTTTGAATAAATGGCTGAGTCACTACTTACCCTTCTTCAAAAATCCTTTGAACAACTATTCAAGACGTAATTAATTAGAATACCTTAAAAAATATGAGGTAAAAACTTTAGCACGAGGGAACGCGTTGCGCATGAACTTGTGCCATACTCAGCGAATTGTTAAACAGCGTTGTCAGGTTTCTGTGATGAAGCTGTTTTCATTTATTTAGCTGATTCCTTTTGCCCACTATATCCCTTTTGCCCGATTTTACCCTACCTGTGTATTGATTGATTTTTAAAGAAAAGTGTTAAAAATTAAGAAAGTTCAATACTCCAGCATTTACCCTATATAATAAAAATAACAGGGGTCCTAATTCAGATCTCTAGGATACACCAGAGGTAGCGGTAGAGTACTGTTGAGTTAGATGACCTTTTAAAACCGATTTTCAAGGTAGCTTTGAATAAGTGAAAGAGGTTTTTCAGAAAATCCATAGTGACTGCATTTAGACGCAAGAAATGAATAAATAATTGTATCAAATGCTTTAGTAGAGTCAATTCCGTTAAGTCGCAGAGTGCCGAAGCTGTATTATGACCTCGTCGAAATTCAGATTGTTTAAATAGAATAATTTTGTACTTTTGAGAAAATAGGCACTAAACTGATCGGTCTCAGTTGGCCATAGCTAGTAGGATCAGGACACTTAGTTAACGGAAAAACTATAGCGTGTTCCTACTGATCTGGGAAGTATCCCCTCTCTAAACAGCATTTGAATGTATGTGTTAAGTACACATCAATTTCAGATATAGATGCAAAGTTATTCCCACTACAATTTGATTTTGTTTTATGAACAATTTTAACAACGGTGTCAATATTTTACTTGATTTAACTTTGGAAGATATTTCACTTCTAACGACTCTCTTCGAAGAAAGGAAACCATTTCAAAACGTATACTAAAACTGTTTACCTACCTACACACAGATGGCGGCGTACTTTATCAGTAAGCTGATCTTCAGTTGACTATAGTTGGTAGTCTCAGAACACTTAGGTAGAAAATAAATTGAAGAAAAGCACTCGCTATTCATTTGGTAAGGAATCACTGCTTTGTCCATGTTCTGTTTGTAAACACTGCTGTTCGATTCAAGAACATGAGTTTGTATATCCTCGTCCTAAATTTGCAACAATTGGGGCTGTCTAGGTCTCTAACTGTAAAACCAGACGGCGTTTGCCCGGTATAAACGGAAGCATGCATCTCTGATGGAAATAAACATCGAGGACAACGTCGACGTTCTGACTAGACTCGCGGAGTAACAATAGCATCTTGAAGATGCTCATATCGAATCGATAACTACATTATTGCTATAGGAATGTGCCAATTTCAGCAATTCAAATGCACTTTGTTTATAAACTAAGTCAACCTAGACACCAAGCGTCGCCTGTTTTGGATACTGACTCACATAGCCTTAGTACAACTTACATTTTGACAGAGGAGAGATTTGAAGGAGGGGGGGTGGTGTCAGGGTCGTACTGACTCGCTTGTTGCTTTTAGAACCTAATACCTCGGTTATCTTAAAGCTTCATTATATAAATTAAATAAAACAGGTGCCGAACCACTTCAAAAATTATTTATTGAGATGTTAAAGGTATAGAGTAATCTTGTCTCTAACAGTATGCGTATTTATAACAAACCGGTAACTTGAACTGTACACACACATACATGAAACATTCACATTTTTATTCTCGGACGATCTGAAAAATAGTCATGAACACAGTTAAATGCATTCATTCACCCTACTTCGTCTGCGTTCATTTTCAAACTGCACGGCTTCACTTTGAATATTCATTAAGCGTGGATTGTCTTTTTTACATATTATCCGTACGGAATGCTGTTACAATAACCATGAGGTGTTATGTGTAATTCGTGTTGATCAACTTGCGTATTTTATTTGGTATTTAGTATGGATGCCTTGCCGTGCATGAATGACTGTCATTTCGAGTGATTAGTTGCAAATAGAAATAAAGCCGTGAGACTATTTGTGAAGCTCTTACTTATTTCTGAGGTTCTATACTCTATTGATATAGTAATATAGGATAAAAATTACGCTCAGCAGACTTGGATTCTCGTAGACTTTACATCTTATTGTACAGGCTCTGGATGGAATTGAGGTTGAAAAATGTATAGACCGTATTATTACCTGATATCAAATAAGAAGGGGTCGAGGAACAATAATTCAGATGTTGCTGGATAACTTTATGACCATTTATGACCCTCTTTTAAGTATAAAGGAACTATATGGAGTAATAGAGGGATTTGAATGGCTATTTCTGATTAATTTATATTTTTGATAGTAAAAGGGATAACGGGTTGTTAATTGATGCAGCAAAACAAGTAGTATAAATAAAAAATAAAAAAAGAATGTATACTAAGTGACATATAAATCCGAACACCCAGTTTAAATCGTTTTATTTTAATAAAAGTTGGTGAATGTATTTATCTTACTGTAAATAACAAGTGAAAAAATGTTAGCCTTATCAGTTGGACATACCGGTTTTTATACTGCTTTTTTTTAATTCACTAACGCTCTAAAAATGAATATTTCAGCCGCAGTAAAGAATCAACGTTGGCGGATTTTGGTTCTTAACATCCTTTACGATCGGTTACGATGCCTAGAGTACGGAGACCTGTACGATTTCGTCAACTTAGTGAGTTTGATAGGGGCCGTATAGTGGGACTTCGGGAACCTGGACTTTCTTTTCGGGCAATTGCAGTTAGAGTGCAAAGAAGTGTAGACACTGTGGTTAGGTGTTGTCAGGCATGGTTTCGAGAAGGCCGTACGCAAAGAGCAAGGGGCACTGGACGCCGCCGTAGAACAACAGGCCGTGAAGATCGCCGCCTAAGATTATTGGCCTTAAGGGACCGTTTCTCCACTACCAGGTCCATTTCAAATGAATGGTTTGCAGAACACGGAAGACTTATTGGCATGCGAATGAGAAGTTTTGGCTTGTTTTCATACCGGCCACACTGGGTCCTCCCTTTAACTCGAGAACACCGACGTAATCGCCTTGAGTGGTGCAGACAACGGTCACTCTGGGATCAGGAATGGACAGTATTGTCTTTAGTGACGAGTCTCGATTTTGTTTAGGCATGCACGATGGTCATGCCAGGGTTAGAAGGCGACGTGGTGAAAAGTTTTTTGTTGAAAGACATGTGCATCACACTGTTGGAGTTATGGTTTGGGGTGCTATAGCTTATGGTTCCAGGTCACTTTTAATCTTCATCAGAGGTAACATGAACGCGCAGCGTTATATCCACAAAGTTCTAGAACCCCATCTTTTACCCTATCTTGACCCCCTGGCAGATCCAACTTTCCAACAAGATAATGCCCGACCACATGTTGCAAGAGTCACAATAGACTTCTTTCAACATAATGATGTCACATTGTTACCACGGCCACCAAGATCTCCCGACTTATCCCCAATTGAGCACGTGTGGGATATGATGGGTAGGAGATTGCTAATTTGCAACGTCCTCCTCAGACTCTAGAAGCACTTCGAGAGGAGTTGGTGGTTGCCTGGAATGAGATACCACAGGAGGACATTGACCACCTGATCAGAAACATGCCTAGGCGCGTTGGAGAATGCGTAGCACATCAGGGTGCATCCACACATTACTAAAGGTCAAAGGGCTTTAAAGCAGTGCAATCATTTTGAAATTTTTATTATTTACTTATTATGCTTCATTGAGTACTTATACAAAATTTTATTAAAAGAAAACCATTTAAACTGGGTGTTCGGAGTTATATGTCACTTAGTATAAATAGGAATACATCGAAAGGCCTGGTATAGTTATTCTGATATTTACACATTTTCCCAATGAAATCATGATTTTTACTCTCTTATGGCATTGTTTTTTAATTGAATAAGCATCTACAGGGTTGGGCCAATGATAAAGAAGGCTGTGTCATTTGCCGCGGAATTAAATTACCATTTTTATCTTCAGATCCAAATGAACTTTAATTCAACGCTTCCAGTTTCGTTCTATGAGCATATTTGCAAATAAATGTTTGTACATTAGCTCTTAACCCTGTATTTGTCTTTACGCGACACCTTATTGAAAAAATGTAATATTGACATACGTTATCAGTTATGACTTATAGATGACATAAGATATTATAAGAGTTGAAAAATAACCTGGGAAAATGACTTTAGAATTAGTTGCTTGCAAGCAAGATTGCGAGATAAAGTATAGGTTCTATTGTTACTTGCAAGCAACATTGACCGATAAAGGTAAACCTAATTGCACTGGTTTATATGTAAATACAACTATACATTTCAAATGATTTATTTATAAAACGAATATCAAGAAATAAACAAAATATATATTTCTAGTTTTACAAAATATGCTAAGTGACATATAAATCCGAACACCCAGTTTAAATGGTTTTATTTTAAAAAAGGTTGGTGAATGTATTTATCTTACTGTAAATAACAAGTGAAAAAATGTTCAGCCTTATCAGTTGGACATTCCGGTATTTATACCTACTGCTTTTTTTTAATTCACTAACGTTCTAAAAATGAATATTTCAGCCGCAGTAAAGAATCAACGTTGGCGGATTTTGGTTCTTGACATCCTTTACGATCGATTAGGATGCCTAGAGTACGGAGACCTGTACGATTTCGTCAACTTAGTGAGTTTGATAGGGGCCGTATAGTGGGACTTCGGGAAGCTGGACTTTCTTTTCGGGCAATTGCAGTTAGAGTGCAAAGAAGTGCAGACACTGTGGTTAGGTGTTGTCAGGTATGGCTTCGAGAAGGCCGTACGCAAAGAGCAAGGGGCACTGGACGCCGCCGTAGAACAACAGACCGTGAAGATCGCCGCCTAAGATTATTGGCCTTAAGAGACCGTTTCTCCACTACCAGGTCCATTGCAAATGAATGGTTTGCACAACACGGAAGACCTATTGGCATGGAAGTGTTTACCGACGAATGAGAAGTTTTGGCTTGTTTTCATACCGGCCACACTGGGTCCTCCCTTTAACTCAAGAACACCGACGTAATCGCCTTGAGTGGTGCAGACAACGGTCACTCTGGGATCAGGAATGGAACAGTATTGTCTTTAGTGACGAGTCTCGATTTTGTTTAGGCATGCACGATGGTCGTGCCAGGGTTAGAATGCGACGTGGTGAAAGGAGGAATCCACAGTTTTTTGTTGAAAGACATGTTCATCACACGCGCAGTGTTATATCCACGAAGTTCTAGAACCCCATCTTTTACCCTATCTTGACACCCTGGCAGACCCAACTTTCCAACTAGATAATGCCCGACCACATGTTGCAAGAGTTCACAATAGACTTCTTTCAACATAATGATGTCACATTGTTAGCATGGCCACCAAGATCTCCCGACTTATCCCCAATTGAGCACGTGTGGGATATGATGGGTAGGAGATTGCTCAATTTGCAACGTCCTCCTCAGACTCTAGAAGCACTTCGAGAGGAGTTGGTGGTTGCCTGGAATGAGTTACCACAGGAGGACATTGACCACCTGATCAGAAGCATGCCTAGGCGCGTTGGAGAATGCGTAGCACATCAGGGTGCATCCACACATTATTAAAGCTCAAAGGGCTTTAAAGCAGTGCAATCATTTTGAAATTTGTATCATTTACTTATTATGCTTCATTAAGTACTTATACAAAATTTTATTATACAATGTGATGAAACAGCTAAATCTAATTGGAATGGAAAAGGTAGAAACAATTCTTATTTGAGGTGAAACATAGCCTAAGATTGCACTTGATACAAAAGATTGTTGTAAATCCATTGGCTCACTGCCTGCATCTACCTTTTGCACCATAAGTTGGCCAATGACCTATGGCATCTTTTTGGGTAGTGATGTCAGGTCTCGGCAGTATAGGGTTTGATATTATTTCCGCAGGGGTTTTATTAGTCGAGGAAATGGATGGTCTGCCACGAGAACTTTGTTTTCCTGCGTTGGCCAACGATTTGGCTAATTCCATACGGAACTCCTTTAGCGGTTTTGACGTTACGCGTGCTGTGTTGCAATCCTTTCTATACAGAAGCCAGGCGTTGATCACTGACATATCAAGAAGCCATATGAAAATTGGGAAGTACCATCTTTTCGATCTGCTTGGACTGCGATACAGACCAAGTAATGAATTGGCCTTATCGACACCGCTCATGTGCTTATTGTATTGCGTTATAACGGATGGACAAGGGATGGCAATTTTTTTCTTTTCCACTTTCGAATATCTTTTTATCGATTTTACGGGATTTAGGCCACAGAATGTAATTGCTAATAGAACTCATTTATTGTCAGCCCATTTTACTACTATTATACCTTTTGTCTGTATCTGCTTTATAAACGTAGGAACCTCTTCGCATTTTTTGAAGCACTTTATCGGTTTCAAGTTGACATCCAGCTATTCTGTTAGACCTTATAGATCCTAAACTAACTATCCCGAATCGGTCTTTCAGATAAATTAAAAATTTTACACTTGAAAACCAATTGTCACAGGATATAACAGTGTTTTTCGGTTCGCTTAGGGTTCTGCACGGAGAAATGACGGCGCTAGCACCTGCACCTAGATTTACTTCATAATCATCTAACTCACTTCTAAGCACTTCAAATATCGCAGCTCCCTGATAGGGTATGAAGTCGGCAATATAACCAGAAACCCCAGCACGAATAAAAAATTTAAACCCCTATTTGTGGGGTTTATTTTGGATATACTGCCTCAGGCTGCCTGCATATGTGCCTTTGTAAGACACCATTGTTTCATCAATTGAGTATTGATTTTCAAACTGGAGTTTATAACAGTTCTTGCGTACAATTTCTAATAAGGGTCTAATTTTGAAATATCGATCCTTTGTCTGGTCTGTTATGTTAATATTATCATTGAAATGGATAAACCGTCTTAGTTTCTGAAACCTCTTCAGAAGCATTATATTGGCCACGTGATCTACCCTTGTACCAGCTGCCCAAAAATCTTCTATGGCAGGAAGACCAGCATGTCAAGTCCTGAAGGCACTTCTTCTTCATCGTTAAGCTCATTCGTTTGGGAAATATTTTCTCCGTCACTGAAATCGTCAAATATGCGGATCTGTGGGAATTACGGTCGGTGCCTTCTTTTTGCCGAAAAAAACATGTAGTGCTTATGGTTGGAAAATCATCCAGATCGGAAGACTGAAAAAGAAAACGTAATTATTCTGGCAATGTTGCTTGAGCGATACATACTAAACAAAGCCATGTTCCTGTCTTATTTTCTCATCTATCGCTTAAAAAGAATCATAAACATAAAGACTCAACCTTCTTTTATACCAACCAAAGCTAATAGAACATAAAAACAAATGATTACTTATCATTTGCAACTAAAATCCCAACTACAGATTCATACGTGCACCAAACACCTGTTACGCGGCAACCATATTGAAAATTTTGACTCAACTTTTCATAAACAGAGGTCGCTCATAATATTATTTCCGTTAATGAATAATGTAGCTTACGCGCAACACTGCCCAATCGGACCGTTAGAGCAGGGAGGACGAGAAATTGAGGTTTAAAGATGATGTTGCCTACAGGCTACAGCACCAGATATAGGGTTAACAAATTTAATGTAAACGTAGTTTATCTGACATACATATCACCTTCATTATTTGAGAAATTAGCCTATAGTTATCGATGTATATCGACAGTTAATCTTTTTCTTGAAAATAAGTACGTTCAAAGTTTTTCCAGCTGATCTAATAATTCACCATTTAGATGGAAATTTCCCGAAAATACAGGAGCTGACTGCAAAGTTACTCCCGCGCAGCTTTCAAACTCTGTTTTTACTGCCAAATCTGCTAGTAGAATCGTAACTGTTTACATCATGTAACGCTGGGAAAATACCAAATTAATCACTTTTGGATCGTCCTGTATATTTAAAAAAGTTAACTGCCGATCCACTTTGCATAAACAAGGCACTGCTTTCGTCTACAATTTGAATAAAAAATCGAAACGTCGCCAATTTTGGCTTAACAAACTAGACCAAAAAATATGAAATATGGTCTTATATGTAGAAGAAGGTTTTAGCTTTTCAGATACCTGGCAACCTCAAAAACAATGATTTTTAACCGAGTTTTAAATCATTGAAGATTAGCATTTTAAGGGCTTTTCAAACATCAGATAGCGTATAGTTCAGAAACGAACATCTATGGAGAAAAGTCGCTAAGGACCTGTGTTGTTCGGAATGATCTGAAAAATCAGAAAAAAAAACGAAAACACCTTTTTGTTATCATTTAAGAGGGGAAGGGCATTAAAAAGAATCGAAAAAAGGTGGCAAGATACGCATTATTATTTTTGGACTTCCTCTTAGTTGTTATTTGTTCATAAAGTGCGGTCCTCGCATGTTGCACAGTCCATTCCATTCAAAACTGTTGAATAAACAAAAAAATGAGTTAAATTTTGTATGCTTCATATTGTCTAGTCATCCAGCCAATAGGAAAAATAAATTCATAGACAAACGCCTGTATGAAATCGGTACCTTATTACGAGGATGTCTTTTAAGTTTTGCATATAGAAAGTGTTTTGTTATACAAATGAAATTCGATATTTTTAAGTACTCCTATAATTATTCATTATTCTGAATAAGAAAAACGTTGTAATAATTTACTTTATCTAGACCATTGATTCCCAAAGTGGTCTATATCGACCCCTAGGGGTCTATGACAACCTGCAAGGGGTCTACGTCAGCGAAAAAAAATTTGGCGGTCCGTGAAATGAATATGGGGGTCCACGATAGTGGATCTCAACACATACACTGATAGTACCTATTTACTTACATCATACTATCTTATAATATCAAAACATATACATTATTTATAAAAGTACCTATGAAGTAAAAAATGTATTATATATGTTTATAAAATTGTGTAAGTTGTAGGATGTTGGTATTCGCTTTGTGGTCGCAATACATTTTGAACTTGTAAAAACCTGAAAGTCGCAGTCTCAGAGCTTCACTGACTTGTTCAATTCGTCACTCTATAAATATGAATGTGGGACAAATACGTTTATTCGTTTCCTGAATCTTGAAAAGGAAAGTGCTCAGAAAATATTTTAAAAAATATAAACAGATAGTATATCACATAAATTATAGTGAGTCAGTGTTATTTTGTTTGAGAGTGCTGTAGAAAAGTAAGTACATTATTTTTTATTAAATTTTAGTTTTGTACTCGTAGTTAGCAAAGATAGATAAATTACGCCAATCATGACTTAAATATTCAATCATGCAAAATTACACGAGTACTCCTCAATAGTTTCTTTTTGAAAGTTTTTTAATAGTATCTTGTGGGAAAAGTGTACTTCTTTGTTAATTTTGCGGCGCTGAATCCAAAAATGACAATGAAATAAAAACATTAGTTGCGGTTTAGAAAAAAACTTTTTATTTTTAAGGATATATTAAAAAAAGTAACAAGATTCATATACTTATAAGAATCACTATATGCGCTGTCTTTTTGCTGTTCTTTTATGGATCGTTTCTGGAGCATCTCTACCAAGAGTCCAACAGTAGTCTGCAAGCATGGAAGGATTCCACTTTCCCTGGTACCTTTTTTCCATTGTTGAAATATCCTGATGAAAACGTTCGCCGTGCTCATCACTTACGGCTCCGCAATTGTCAGGAAAAAAGTCCAGGTGTGAGTATAGGAAATGTATCTTCAGAGACATATTACAGCCCATCTTTTGATACGATGACAGCATATTTTTGACAAAGGCTTTATAGTTGTCAACTTTTCTATTTCCCAAGAAATTAGTGACCACCAGACGGAAATCATTCCAAGCAGTTTTTTCAATACCTGTTAAAGTGTTTTCAAACTGTGTATCTTTCAAAATATTTCGAATCTGTGGCCCAACAAAAATACCTTCTTTAAACTTTGCCTCACTTAGTCTTGAAAATTTCTGACGCAGGTATTGAAAAGCTGACCCATCTCTATCTAATGCCTTGACAAAGTTTTTCATTAGGCCCAACTTGATATGCAGTGGTGGTAATAAAATTTTTTTCGAATCTACTAATGGCATATGCTGTACATTTTTTTTACCTGGCTCTAGGAATTGACGAACAGGCCAGTTTTGTCTGGTGTAATGAAGTGCCTTTGCCCGACTGTCCCATTCACACAAAAAACAGCAAAACTTTGTGTAGCCTAGCTGCAGCCCAAGTAAAAGTGCAACAACTTTCAAATCGCCACAAATATGCCATTGGTGCTCATCGTATTTTATGCATGTCAATAGGTACTTCATATTGTCATATGATTCTTTCATGTGAACTGCATACCCTACAGGAAGAGATGGTAAAATATTTCCAATATGCAATAACACTGCCTTTAAATTCAATGTTGAACTGTCTATAAACAATCTCCATTCTTCTGGGTTATAGTTTATATTTACAGCCGCCAGTAAGCCGTTAATGTTACTGCAGAAAACCAAGTTATTCTCCATATTGAAAAATGGTTCTAAGTCTTTGTGGCGTTTACGAAAAACACATACCGAAACATCGTCTTCTAACAAGTTCCACTGCTGCAGTCTTGATCCAAGTAACTCTGCCTTACATTTTGGAAGTTCTAAATCTCTTACAAGATCATTTAATTCTGACTGTGTTATTTTGTGCTGTTGGTGGCATGACGTGCTCGGTATAAAATCAGGATCTCTTGACGTTGATGGCATATCTTCTTCCTGACGAATCACTCGATCGCCATGATCTGATTCGTTTTCTGATTCGCAAGTGTAGGATTCTGGGGGTTTTGGAATAGGATTTTCGTCACTGTGAGGCACAGGTCGCATCGCAGATGGCATGTTTGGGTAGTTAATAACCGATTTTTTTTTCTTGGAGATACCTGTGGTTTGTCCAAGACAAGGTACCATGCAAAAGTTACAATCATTAATATGATTTGTAGGCTCTGTACAAACCATTGGGACAGCAAAGCGCATAGACCGTTTTTTGCCATTTAACCAGCTCCTCAGACTTGAAGCACATGTATTACAGCAGATGTGGGGTGCCCACTGTTTGTCTTGATCACCTAGTTTACAACTGAAATAAAGCTGATATGCCTTTGTTATTAGTGGAGTAATAGACCGTCTCTGAGACGCAAAAGTCACATCACCACACACGTAACAAAACTGATCTGGATTGTTTACACACTTTCGAGACATCTTGCATGAACGCTGTCAGCCAACTGAGGAAAAAATGGCTAATATAAAACAATATAATGTACACGTATGTATAATGTAACACAATCATTCCGATTACATCATC